CACACACTCACATTTTTATAAACTGGGCTGCCTTGGCCTCTATAATTTATGTATTCTAGCATATTAAGAAATTAGTAAGTACCTTTCAATGGGGTACATCCACTGATATTGCACAGGGACACCAAGAATGGCTTCGCGTGGCCAATGAATGGAAAATTTTTCTCTAACTTGCATAGTATGAGTACTATGCAATCTTCTAATTTTTCCAAATCCTTTACCTTCAATGTCTTCGAGCAAAGCTCTTGGAAGAAATTTCCAAACTCAAATAATGCGACACAAATATCATTATGAAGATATCCATGCATTCTAATGGAAAGAAGTCGCTGTAGAAGGACATGACAATCATGACATTTTACTCTTGTTAACTTATCACCTTTTGTGCTCACACACCTTGAGATGCTTGCGGCATAACCATCAGGATACTTAATAGACTTCAAAAACTCACAGAAACCATGCCTTTCATCTAAGGACAAAGTGTACAATGCTGGAGGCTTTTCAAAAGACCCATCGGCATGCCTTTTTAGGTGCAACTCCTTCCTTATTTTCATATCTTCCAAATCTAGGCGTGCTTTTTCTGTGTCTTTTTTTTTTTTTCATCTATACTCAGTAATGTTCCAAGCAAAGTATCACATATATTCTTCTCTATGTTCATAGCATCGAGGTTATGTCGAAGTTTAAGTGTTTTCCAATATGGCAACACAAAAAATATGCTTTTTTTTTTTGGTCCAATTTAATACTGGAATTTTCCTTTTTCTTTTCTTATTAGTTGGATGCTTTGCAAATGGTCTGAATGTCTCTGATTCCAATTGTTCTAAGATTTGTTATCCTGATAACTCCAAAGGTCTTGACACGAACTCAGTCTTACCATTATAAAGTCGACTCCTCCGCCAAGGGTGGTCATCAGGCAGGTAACGACGAGTGCATGTGTTCCCTATTTTACCTCTCAATTGTTGTGAGGATACATTCTTGTTACATGTAGGACAAGCCAAATAACCTTTCGTACTTCATCCTGACAAGTTGCCAATTGCAGAAAAGTCATTAATCGTCTATATAGCAGCCGCATGCATTTGAAAAGTTAATTCAGTTGAGGCATCATAAGCAAGCACACCATCTTCCTACAACTCCTTCAACTCATCTTGTGGTCCAAGGATAAGTAATGACAACATAGTAAATGATTGTTTCATACATTTCCAAGGAGGCAAGTTGTAAGGCATATAAACCCTAACTTCACATTTTGAGTCTCTTGGGAAAACAAAGGATGTTGCTCATGTTTCTCATATCTATAGCTGTTTTTCTTGACATATATAATCTCTGCAACCACAGTGTCAACGGGAAGTATCTTAAGATCTTATGAGGAACTTTCTTACCTTTTCCATCATTCAACTTGTATCTGGACTCTTGACAAATCGGACAATTCTCTAAATTTGCATTTTCCTTCCAAAAAAGTGCACAATCATACTTACATGCACGAATCGACACATATCCTAAGCCTAAGTCACGTAAGAATTTTTTGGCTTCATAATGGATCCATGGAATCACTTAGTCACTTACTAGTAGAAGGTCCTTTAATATCCCCAACATCATGTTGAATGACTTATTGCTCCACTTGTTTAAAACCTTTACATGAAGCATCTTAACAACAAATCATAAAAGAGAAAACTTATGACACCCAGGGTACAACTCTCTTTGAGCATCATTCAACAATTTGTTAAAGTTGGGCATGTCCTCATTTCCAACATTATTAGCCACGTCATCACCATCGTCATCGTCCTCTTCATCCCCCTCGTTTTCATCATCATTCATGATAGTCCCCATGTAAACATCTTCTAACAAATTTAGGATTTCATCGTGATCTTCGTCTGTCTCTTCTTCCATTCTATCTCCAACACTTCCAAAGTCATTGTGGTCGTCATCATTGAATGCATGAGATTGATTCATGGGAACAGATTCCCCATGATGCATCCAAGTCTTATAAGACGAGGACATCCCTTTCACGACCAAATGATACTCCACAATTTTACTAGTGTGCCATTCACAATTTAAACAGTCCATACAAGGGCAACGAATCTTATCATTTCGCCCTACATTTGCCATTGCAAATTGAACAAAAGCCTTCACCCCATCTCGGTATTGGGAACTCATCCTATTCTTAAGTAACATCCAACTCTTGTTGATATTTGGTCACTTACAAAGCCAAGGTTACATGAAATTCTTTTGTTATTATATACATTTATATCCAATAGGTAAGTAGTCCTATCCCATTTATGAATGCACGATGAAAAATATACTATAATATACCTTTAACTTAATTAAGCATTTGTAATATTTGTAAGACTAAATTAATTATTTAGTTGTTACTATAACCCACGTTATATGACAATATTAATTAGAGATTTTACAGGATTATGATTCCATATCTTTTGCTCCAACGTGTTAACTAATAGTGATTTCTGAGTATCCTACTTTGATAGTTCTAAATCTTGGATTATAAAAGTTGTTATATGCAATACACCATAAAATAATTTTCATTATTAACAAAGTTGTATTAACAATAGTAAGTGATAACCAAGAATTAATATTCAAGTAGAATATGCAATCTACAGTAAAGGGTGAAAAAGAATCATATAATAAGTGATGAAGTGCTTAAATAAATTAGAATTGCTATATAAATTATGGTATTGAAATAAAAATGCCCTAACAAATAGTCAAAGCTTACTTGATGTAGTAATTGCCCCCAACGAATGAGTGCAACCTGTTTTTTTTTTTTTTTTTAATCTCTTTGCATTAGCCAATTACCTATGACATTTGCAATTATAAATCAAAGTTTCAATTAAAACTGCACTATACATCGAACCAAAATGTGATGTACACATCTAAATAAATGCTTGTACTTATCATCTAGACAACAATTGTATTCTTGCCAAAAAAGAATAAATCACAGCTTTGAAAAATGTACAATTCACTACCGGAAAAGACAAATACACAGCATAGGATGGAAGCTTGGATTGAAACAAAAATAAATATCAATTGAGAAATGGAATGGCATGGCATCATACAAGTCAAAACCTACAAGCAAAAATAACAGACTCAAGTGAGTGTTGTTAGTAGTTTTTCTTTATCTTTTTTTTCTTTTTTGGAATTTTGGAATGTGCCAACAACAATCTGTTAGTATTTGTTTGCTGATTATTTTATTTGCCTGCACCTAATTAGTTGTGATTTGTATATCTAATGCTTCAAAACAGCACCATCAAGTGGTATTTTAAGTTTGCATTTGGATTTATGGATTAATAATGTATGGGTTGTTCCTTCTAATTGTGTTTGATAACTTAAATTTAGATGTCATGTCAAAGAGATAGATGGAAGGATTTATATGACTCTTGAGTGGATTTCAAATGACAACATTGAAAGAGTATTTCAAATCTATCGCAAGAAGGATTCTCACTATACCAGAATCGTAATAAAACACCTCTACTTAAATCCTTGTTCTTGGTCTTAAATCTAATTCCAACGCCTTACTTTCCCATGCATTTGCAAATTTAAGGCGAAAAACCATTAATTTGAAATCTTTCTATTCAAATACAGCCTTAGGCATTAGCTACCTCGTGTTCTTAAGTTTGTTTTCTTAAATTTACAATTGGAGGGTATTTAGATAATCAACTTTGCTGAATGATATGCTAGCTACACTTATGTTGGACGAATGAGTAATGGCTATTAAATCACGCACATCGTTAGTGGCCTATTGGTTGGCTTTGGTCATATTTGAGCTCTACAAAACATTTATGGACACAGGTCAGCGTTTTCGAAACTTGGGGTATTGAATTATTGGGTACTGGTTACTTATATAATTTGTTTAAAATAATTAAGCAAATGGGAGAAATTATGCACATCTCAAATAACAAATCCACACTACAAATCCCTAGCTGCAAAACACAACCATAACAATCTACTACAGATCCTCCCAAGCACTTCCTAATTTTCCTTACAACAACACCCTCAATTGGTGAGGACCCAACAAGCACAAGAACACTCATGCACTGAAGAGAACTCAATCAGCAAAAAAGAAAACCAGTAGAACAAAACCATCTAGCAGAAACAAAAATAGCAGCAGCAGAATAGCAGTAGCAGTGCTAAAAGAAACAAAAACAGCAGCAGCAAAACAAAAACAACAGCAGCCACAACTCCAAGCCAGCTAGCAGAACACTATAACCAACCAACTAGCGGAACACTACAACCCAAAGAAAAGAAAAAACAACAGCAGCCACAACTCAAAGCCCCCTAATAGACTTCAAATTATAAATCAAATCATTGACATGATTACAAACTAAAAACAAAACCACTTTCATGCATATCAACCACTCATGCAATATATATATCTAATCAACCACTAATGCAAATTTACAGCATCTAATTACAAGCAATTCAGATTTCTCTCTTGCAATTAAGACATGTATTTTCTTTTTTATGCAAAGGATACTACAATTACGACCCACGCATATTATATATATGAATCAAACATGAGAGGCAGCACAAACTATTAAGACTACTTGAATTTTTTATTCTACATCACATTCACAGTCACTTCCAAACACAAAATATACTCCACATGATGTTGCATTTTATATACCAAATGGAGCCATTCTTAACCTTCATAAAGCTATCACAACTACAAACAGTTGCAGAGTATTGAAGAAGACCAGAGTATTTCACTCCTCAGAACAATACGACAATTGTTTTCACTCTTTTTTCTAATTATAAAGCATGACTGTAATTGCGAATAAAGGGATAAATATGTTTTTTCCTATATCCATGGTCGAAGAGAAAGTGCTAGCAATTTTAAGAAGTCAATTAATTCATTTTCCGTGGGGAGTTTTAGTTGGGAAATAATTATCTTCATGGGCTAAAATCAAAACACAACTCAGAGAACACTTGCTTGATTAATCAATAGGTCGAGTACGAACTTAGGAAAATTATACTCAAATTTTTTATGTAGGAAGAATGCTGGAAAGCCAATCAAATACAGTTTGCTGCCTATATTGGTATTTTGTTCTGTTATTTAATCTAATGTGGTAAAATCCTTTTACCTCTAAACCTAAATTCAAAGGAAATTTCAGCTGTGTGAAGTACATATTATAATGTAACTTCATTAATCAAGTTAACCATAAGCCTATCTGGCATTAGATAAATCAAAAAACTAACTCTAATTTGACAACAAAAAGAAAAGAAGCAGGGAATAACACTCAATGGTGTCCATACACTCAATTATAAATCAAATCATTGACTGAAAAATCCACCCCCTTAATATGGTACTTCACCAAAATAGCAATGTTCAACTTAATGGACTCAAAAACTTCACACCAAAAGAGTAATTATATTTGAACTTGGAAGCTATCTATATTTACATATGTTCTATCCATTATATTATATAATGCCCACTACTCAATTTTTCAAGCTTTGTCACATAATTTCAATTTCCAAAAATGCTCATGGAATTGCTAATTGGAGGAATAAAAATGCACTACTACAATAATGCTTAAAGATCACACAATAGGAATTAAAAACATCTCTGTTTAAATGAAAATTTTGGACCTAATTTAAATGTTCCATTTAAATTGATAACATTTCATTATCTAATCCAATAAAAATAAAGAAGCCTTCATAAGAATCAACTCAAGTTGAATTGAAGAGTAAAGAAAACTCATTAATCCAACCAAAAAAATAATGTTATTGGATATTTTCTACAAGCTAAGTCATTTGTCAATGTTATCCTATTTTCTGTTTACAAAAAAACAGAGCATGCTACAATGAGATATCGGTTGAGCAATCTGACAAAAAATTCAAAAGTGGATGGCCCATTACTCAATCCTATAAAAAAAATATGGGGCATAACAATAGTGAAGGGAAGCAGTATATCATGTCTCATAGTTATTTGCTTTTAAAAGATAAGGACAATATTTACTGATGATTTAGTAGAAACACCATGCATATATTTACTGTAAGAAAGTTATGCAAACTAGACAGGTAAGGATGAGTTGCATTCCATATTGATTTATTATTACTTTATTATTAATGGATTCTAAAAATCACTGAGCAAACATTTGCAATATTTGGGATTTCTGGCGATTAATTGATAAGTTAAAAAAAAGGGAAAAGAAATTAAATTAAATTTCTTAGACTGATTATTGGTTTTTAGTGCTGTATTTAGTTTGTGATGTAGATTACTTGGGATTTGTTTCTGGAAAATATTTGAGAATAAAATTAGAACTTTAACAGTTATGGATGACATTTGAAAAAAAAAAAGGAAGAAAAAAATTCAGAGTTGTCTATGTAGGGATGAAGAGTACCCCAAATCAATTATTTGGGTGTAGTGCTCAATAAAATTACAGAAAATTTGGATTCATTAATGTTGTAGTATCTATAATGTTTTTCAGTTAATAGAATTAAAAATCAAAGCATAATTTTATCTGGATTCATTACATGGGTCTACTTTTTGAAATTATCACAAATAAAGATGAAATTACAACTTGATTATCAGTTTTCAAAACACACTTTCATTCCAAAAATGGAGAACCAGAGAATAAAGATTCAGAATTGAAAAAAACGAAACTACAGACAAAGAAGAAGAATATGAGGAGGCGATGCTCAGTCGGCAGTGTGAGAGAGAGAGAGAGAGAGAGAAGAAGAAGAAGAAGAAGAAGAAGAAGAAGAATAAGGAGAAGAAGAAAAGAATACCTCAGTGCTATGTCGTTTAAGCTCGTGGGAGAATGAGATGAACTTTTGGGTCAATGGTTTGTTTATTCACCCACAAATACTTTATTCGAAGGTTAGGTCGACTAATTAAAAAAATAAAAAAATAAAAAAGATGTAGTTTTGAAAGGCAATTTATTGGCTACTAAAATAATTTGGTCGTCATAAATACGGTTCAAATTTTCGTGACTATTTTATTTGTGTTGCCAAAAATATACAATTAACGACTAAAATTTTCGTTACCGTATATTATTTTGGTCACGAAAACTTTTTTAGCGCTCCCGCGCAAAAATTTAGGATGGCGCCAAATTCAATAGCGACCAAAATCTCAATTCGTCGCCAATAATTCAGTTTTTGGCGACCAACAAGTATATTAGTTGCCAAATATGTAACATTGGCGACTAATTTCTATTTAGTTGCCAAAAAACATCACCAAAGATGATTTTTGTTGTAGTGTCTGTCTTTGCTAAACCATTTTCTCAAACCATTTCTTATAATCCCCCACATGAATGGAATTTGACGACAACGGAAATGTAAAACATGCATAATTTTGTCGAGAGAGTATAAATTAAAAATATCTTGCATCAGCATAGGTAGCTTACGACCTTGAACCTTCTCTGTGATAACCTACCGGACTTACTAGCTAACCAATGGACGCGGTGCCTTGAATTGTTTAGCCATTAGTGTAAGCCAAAACAATAGATTTCATACAAAATATCTTTTGACACATCGTGGTTCTCATGGTTATGTTCATTTTGGCCCTGAACGTTCCTAGTTGTTCATGAGTGCTCTAGAGAATTTAGTTTCTTTATTCTCATAGAACCGGCCCTAGTTCGACAATCATATAGGTGATTCTTATTGAGAGTATCCTTTATACTCATCTTGACTTTTTATTCCCAAGTCAAGATATAAGTAACAATTAAAAGCAAAGCCCTTAATTCCCTACATACGACACATGTTGCAGATATCACTCTCATCATAGGAATGGATAAGGAATTTAATCCCTTAGTGATTTCTGATAAGCCACACATAACTTAGTTGTCCCCTTGAACTTAATTCTTGTGATCTCCAATTATTTCAGTAGGGTTACCATTATGACGGCTCTTATGTAATAGGCTTTAATCCCATCCCCTTTGATGAACTGTACACTTGCTCTTTTGTCAAATCTTTCGTTAACGAATCCGCAATATTCTCTTTAGATTTTATATACTCTATTGAGATTATTCCACTTGAAATCAATTTCCTTACGGTATTATGTCGACAACGAATGTGTCGTGACTTACCGTTATACATATGACTCTGTGCCTTTCCTATTGCATATTGACTATCACAATGAATGTAAATAGCTAGCACAGGTTTTGGCCATGTTGGAATGTCTTCTGAGAAGTGGCAAAGTCATTCTGCCTCTTCTCTTGCTTTGTCTAAAGCAATGAACTCAGATTCCATTATGGATCGTGCGATGCATGTTTGTTTCGTAGAATTCCAAGAAACAACAGTGCCCTCTAGAGTAAAAACATATCCACTAGTGAATTTTGAATCTTTAGTATCGGATATCCAATTGGCATCACAATAACCTTCTAGTACTGCAAGATATCGAGTAAAGTTCAAACCATTATCACGGGTAAATCTTAGATATTTAAGAACCCGAATGATTGCTTTCCAATGATCTTCTCCGGGGTAACTAGTGTACCTGCTCACTTTACTGACAGCATAAACTATATCAAGACGCGTGCAATTCATTAAGTACATTAGGCTTCCAATGATTTGGGACTATTTTAACTAAGACACTGTGTCACCTTTATTTTTCGATAAAGAAAAACTGATGTCTACAGGTGTTCTTGCTACATTCACATCATTTTTGATGTATTTATCAAGAATTTTCTCAATATAATGAGATTGAAATAATGCATATCCATTAGATGTTTTAATAATTTTCATATACATCAAATGTTTTAATAATTTTAATACTTCGTCTTGGTTCATTGTGTTTTAATGCACCTTTCTTAATATTCTCGCTCTCTTACTTCATCTTGGTTCACTATCAATTAAATCATGTTGGTCGAGACCATTACTAGTCTCTTGTGTTTGATTGTCATTAGTCTCTTGACTTTGTATGTAATGATAAGTTCTTTTCTGTGAACTTAATTGCTGTCCTTTCTTATAAGGAAAACATATTCAAAAAACACAGCATTTCTTGACTCTATAATAGTGTTCACATTTATACCAAGTATTTCTAAGTTATAAGTCAGAAATCGATATGCACTACTATTATGCGCATAACCAATAAACACACAATCCACTATTTTTGGTCATATCTTAGTCTTTTTCAGAGTAGGAACTTCTACCTTTGCCAAACACCCCCACACTTTTAAGTATTTATAAGAAGGTGGTTGACCTTTCCATAGTTCATAAGGAGTGCTGTTAGTTTTCTTGTGAGGTATCTTATTGAAGACATAATTTGTAGACAAAATTGCTTCCCTCCACAAGTTTTGCGGTAAGCCTGAACTTAGTAACATTGCATTCATCATTTCTTTAAGGGTTCTATTTTTTCTTTCAGCAATTCCATTTTGCTATAGCAAATAAGGTGTTGTAGTTTGGTGAATAATGACATGTTGTGCACAAAATTCATTTAAAGGTACATCAAATTCACCACCCCTATCACTTCTAACCATTTTAATGATTTTACCAAGTTGATTTTCAACATTAGTTTTGTAGAGTTTAATCATTTCCAAAGCTTTATCTTTACTTCTAAGTAAATATTCATAACAATATTTTATGCAATCATCGATAAATGTTATGAAATACTTTTTGCCTCCTCTAGTTTGAGGAAATTTAAGGTCACACACATCAATATGAATTAATTCTAGAGGTTTGGTTTTTCTTTCAACCAATTTAAATGGAGTCTTAGTTAGTTTTGCTTTTACACATATCTCACATTTGCGATTAGGATCAATTTTAAACTTTGGTATATAATCCAAACCAAGTAGTCTACGCAAAACATCAAAATTCACATGTCCTAATCTACCGTACAATAAATTTGACTTAAGAATATAAGCAAAATATTTGTTACTCTTATTAATAACAGATTTTGGTACAACAGTCATTGCATTCAACTTGAAAAGACCATCGCTTATGTATTCCTCACCCACATACATACCACTCTTTGTTAATACAAACTTATCATATTCAAATACAAGTCTAAAGCCATTTTTACTTAACAAAGAACCGAAAACTAAATTTTTCCAGATGTTTGGTACATGCAGCACGTTGTTGAGGGTAAGTTCTTTCCCCAATGTCATCTTCAAGATAACTTTCCCTTGTCCAGCCACAACAGAAGTAGATGAATTTTCTATGAATAGCTGTTCACCATTTGCAGCCTCATTATAACTAGTGAACATCTTTTTTTCCACGCAAATATGTTGAGTTGCCCCAGTGTCGACCCACTACTCCTTGGGATTTCCAACCAATTTAGCCTCATACACTACAGTAGATAGATTGATGTCATTTACCCCATCAGAGATGTAATCGACTTCTGTCACATTGGCTTGATTGGTGGTCGTTTTGCTTGTACTTCCGCGATCCTTCTTAAGGCATCGGCAATTCGAGGCACGATGTCCAATCTTGCCACAATTATAACATTTTCCTTTGAACTTTTTATTACCATTGTTGTCGCCTTGTTTAGAACCATCTCCAGCAAACTATTTTTTCTTGTTATGTGGTTTGGGCACTTGTTCCACTACATCAGCCTTGGACTCAATGAGATTTTTACCATTCCTCTTTTCAGCCTTACAGTTATCTTCCTCAATTTTCAGTCTCACAATAAGTTCATCCATGGTCATCTCTTTGTGTTTATCTTTTAAATAATTTTTGAAATCTTTCCAAGTCGATGGTAATTTTTCCACTAATGCAACGACTTGGAAAGATTCACTAAGAGACATACCCTCAGCATGAATATCATGCAAAATTAATTAGAAACTTTGAACTTGAGCAATAACCGTTTGCGAGTCTACCATAACAAAATCCAGAAATTTACCGATAATAAATTTCTTTGTGCCGACATCCTCTGTTTTTTTTTCTTTCTTTCTCCAAAGAATCACACAATTCTTTTCCTGTTTTCAAAGAGCTGTAAACATTATACAACATGTTGTTTAGGCCATCGAGGATGTAATTTCTGCAAAGAAAATCAGAATGCTTCCACGCATCCACCGCGGCAACAACTTGCAGATCACTTTTATCCTCTTTTAGTACTGGAGCATCTTCATGGAGAAATCAGACAAGATTAAGAGTTGTAAGATAGAACTACATTTTCTGCTATCATCTTTAAACTCAGTGCCATTAAATTTTTTCCCTTTTTCTCTATAACTTATTGGAACTTAAACATGGTTTTGGGTAAGAACCGGAGTTGTTGTAACAACCGGATTTGGAGTACCAATTTCAGTAGCCATCAAATCTGATTACAAAAATCAGAAAACAAATTAGAAGTAACACAATATTTCTAGTTACAAAAGCTATAAACAAAAATCAAAATTGTGAATACAATGAAGAAACTAATATGTCTTAAGATTGTTGGACAATCTTCAATGTATTCAAAGAAAGAAGATAAAGAAAGGAGATGGTCTGTTTGATTACAAAAATCAAAACAGTATATATATATATATATAAGAAAAACAGATTCTTATTTTGTTATAAAAACAAAATTAGAATCTGGAAAGGAAAAATTAATAAAAATAGAAAAGTAAATTAATCACTTACCGTATTATTTTTCTCGAACAAAATTTGATCAAGTCCAATGTTGTACACAGTACCCTTTAGACAGATTCATCCTCTCTAGGATGCTAACAGATATTAGACGTTTATCTCCTAGGATGAAATGATCAATGAAAACTAGTAGCTGCGCTACCAACTACTTGTCCAACAAATACACTTTGTTTTTATACTCTTTCTCACACAAGAAATTTATGTTGCAAAATGCAGGAAATAAAAGCAAAAAAGCAGAACAGAAATTTGATGAAAATCAAATAAAGGATTTGTCTATTTATAGGTGAACTGGTGGCTTTTCAAAATGACTTCAACAGGTACC